GGCACTCCTGCTGAGCCCACAGCGCTCTGCTGGGGGAAGGAGCTGAGGATGGGCCCGGGGAAGGTGACCACTGAGGCCGGGGGCTGGATCACCACCGTGGAGTCGGGGCACTGCCGCACGCAGGGCTCGTTGCACGTGTCAGCCAGAGGGGCCGGGGTGGCCACCCCACAGGAGGAGGGCACACACAGGTTGGAGCAGGACATGGTTCCCACAGGCAAGGAGTTCTGGAGAGCAAGGAGAAAGCAAAAAGGTGTGAGGAGAGGGTTGTGCTGAGGGAAGAAAGGAGAGATTCCCCAAGAGGTTTGTGAGAGCTGGACTTACCTGGTTGCTGAGGAGAGTCGAGTGGAGGAGTGTGGATAGAGGTCTGCAAGGAGCTCGGCTCTTTTATACTTATCCAAGGGTGCCCCAGGCGTTGCCCAGGGGGTGGGGGCCCAAACCCCAGATAATCATGAAATTCATGGGAGAAGCTTCATGATGCCAGACAATTACAGGTCATCCACTCACAGGGACATTGGCATGGGAAGCACAGACAGTGGCACATCACCACATGAAAGGCAAGGTAACTTAACCCCAATAAAACCTGATTTGTCCCTAATTCCTCCCTTTGCTGACACAGAACAATCCTGGGCATCCTGTGGGTCATGGCAGTGCCCAGGGACACCGCACTGAGCCCCAGCCCAGCCCTGCACGTGAGCCCTCAGTGCCCGTGGGACCGTGGGCACGTGCAGCCTGGCTCTCTGGGGCTGCTCAGACAACATCTCCTGGCACAGCCCCACATGCTGGGCAATCCCAGCCCCTCACACAGGGTCAGGCAGGACCGTGCCCGCAGCCAGGAGGCTGAGGAGCTCACAGTGCCCTGGGCCTCTTGCTGCCCGTCTGCTCCTCCTTTGATGTCCCCTCTCCCAGAGCTCTCCCAGAGCTCTGTCCCGCTGCTCTCCACAGCCCCTGGGTGGTTGTGGCTTTGCCACATGTGGCACCTGTCTCCTCTACTCTTTGCATGGCCAGCGAGTGAAACGCGGACCTAAAAATCCCAGTGTCTGCAGAACCTTAGAGGAGGGAATTCACAGAGGTGGTGGGGGACCCCAAGACCATGAGATGAGCAGTTTGTGCTGACAGTGGGAATTGAAGGGTCTTGGGGAGTCATTCTGAGCTTAGAATGGCCTCTCCTCTGCCCAACCTGCTGGTGCCTCTGTTTACCAGCCTGTAAAAGGGAGGTAATGACAGGCGTGATGGCTGGGACAGGATTTCAGATGCTTCTGCAAGATGCCCGGAATTCCTCTCTGTAAGCAAAATTTGGGATTAGGGACAAATCAGGGTTTATTGGAGCTGTGAGTTACAGCAGCACCTTTTCTTTCATGTGATGATGTGCCATGATCTGTCCCTGCCATCACCTGCTTCATGTCCAGAGCATGTTTGAACACAAGTGTCCACAATGAGGGGATGACATATATTCGTCACATCATCTGTGTCACGAAGCTTTTCAGCCTGAATTC